TTTTATTTGTAATAACATAGCGTTTTAATCGGAGGTAGCCAATAAAGCATTATAATTCTAATAATCATTTAATACTGGTTTTCCGATTTCCTTACATAATTTCTGGTCTTTTGGGAAACAGAGTTCTCCTGTGACAAAATATCTACAACCGGGAAGCGAGGCGAGCAGAAGGCACGAACATAATCATTTAACGCGTTCTTGACAAAACTTCTGTTTTTTGCCGTATTGTACGCAAACCAATATTGCCACTCATTTTTGTACTCATACAGAGTCCTGGGTACGAGGAATTGTCTGCTTTTTCGTGCCCGGGGGCGGGGAATAGGCCGTCAAATAAGAAAACGATGTCAAATCCCCGGGCGGGGGTATGCCCGGGGGGGGGGGTGCTAACAAGTGAAATTGAACCACGCATAAATAAAACAAGACTAGTGTTTAGTGCAGTAAAATAAGCACTACGGACGGAATTGTGACTTACTACAGAGCTAAATTTAAAACCTGCTGTAAACAGTAGTATACCCGCGTTCCTAAAAACACTTTTATATCGTCATAGTCATAATAATTACAATACAAGTGTTTGAACGGGATTACCAGCTCCCGATCCAGCCACCCCCGCAGGAGAATCCTCTGCGGATGTTTCACCAACTTCTTCAGCAGCTTCAGCAGCTTCAGCAGCATTTACAAGCAATAGCCTACTCGAATCACAAATATCAAGTCCAAGTCCTGGAAATTGCTCTAGATCTGCAACAGACACAGCAATGGATTCCGTGCACGAGCTGCCGGCCAAACTGGTCAAGGAAATCCTCACCGGTGAGTTCATGAAATTATCTTAATTGCTTCCCAAGAACTTTAATTTTTTAAATCCGTCCCAGGATGAGCCGCTTACCTTAACTCTGGAAAAGTCAGTCGTTAAAGTAGATAAGGCCAAAACTACATCAATAACTGACATCTCGGAGTGGACGACGGCGTTTAGTGCCTACATGGGTGTTCTAATAAGCAAGTTCCCACACTGTGCCTCTGAGTAACTAGAATATATGTCTCTCATTTGCTATGCTGCTAGATACCATTAGGGGTTAGGCTGGTGTGTGTATGACATAAAGTTCCGGCAGAAGGCTGCCACTAACAAGCCATTGAAATGGTCAACCATTGACAGTCAATTATGGCTCAAAACCTTCACGGTTGCACCTTCACTTCTAAAG